CCTCTGCACCTGCGCAAAGTGCGTGTTTGTTGCACACACACACTCAAAGTGTGTGCAAAGCACACCCACCAAACCATGCCCACCGAACTGGTGGTAAAAATATTTGAATCCCACCACTGATATATATCAACCATATATATATATATATATATATTAGTACCTTATATTAGTACTCATCATGAAATCTCCAGAATCGTAAAGCCTACAAACTTGATTTTTTTTTTTTTTTGAAAACCTCCAGCTCCCATAACATCTAGAGGCATAATATCCGAGTTGAAAAAGCTTTTTGGATGAGAAGGGAAACATCTTCAAAGAAAAAAAAAAAAGAAGTGCAGTTGCCTCTTGAAAAATAAAAATAAAAAAGCCTCTTTGGGATCCAGAGGCAAGATTCACTGATTAATTGTTCTCACTGTCAGGAAATTTCTCCTTAATTCTAAGTTGGATCTCTCGTTGATAAGTGTCCATCCGTTTCTTCTTGTCTTGTCCTCAAGTGCCCTCAAAAATAGGTTGTCCCCCTATTTTTTGTGACAGCACCTCAAATATTGGAAGACTGCTATCATGTCACTCCAAGTTCTTTTCTTCATCACATTGGACATATCTAGTTCCTGCAATGTTCGCTTGGATTGAATAGTGAAAAAAATTGTATGCATTCATTTCTGTAGTCCACATTTCCCTTCCCACCCATGTTTGCCAATTCTCTGATAGAAAGGATCAAGTTTGACCTTCTCCAGAAGTGCTTTTTAAATTATTATCATGGTTCATCACACAGTCAGCCAGATGTTTAGGCTGGATTTGGCACTTTTATCCATCTTATAGAGTCCGCCCCAAAGACCTGGGATAGGCAGATGTGGATGTGTGATGGTGGTAAACGTATCTTTGCGGGATGTAAGCTGCTCCAAGTTAAGTTGCCTTTTGCAATTGACTGGTGGGGATTTTGTCAATGCCGATGCTGTTCAAGTGATGCTCCAGTTGTGCAGGATTGTTGTTATTGATTTAATAAGTATTTTTAATTAAAAATGCGTGTCTTGGCCAACCCAACACTCAGGGTTGCTTACCATATTGCTTATTATCTCCAGAAGAGGGTGACTGTTGTCACACTGCATGCTCAGATCAGGGATTCTCACAGAAGGCAATTTGCATTTTCATATTCTTTGAACTTTTGGGATGTAAGAATAAAGCAGAGACAAGATGTATCCCAGGACTAGAAAAATAGGGATGGAATTCCTTAAGAAAATTCAAAACGAGGAGCCAGACTGCTGATGGAGGAATCAGGGGGTAAAAAAACAGGAGCCGCGAAGAAGATGATTAAATGATCCTCAAACAGGAGGAAAAAAAGAGAGAACTCTTGATTTACACATGAGGCACGAAGGGTTGGCTTTCCCAGACAGCTTCCTTCCTGTAAGAACATCTGCCTGTCACAGAAAATGTCACGGTTGGCTCCCAGGCTAATGAGAATGTAGGAGACCAAGTTATAAACAGCCACCTACAAGCTCCTTTGCTATCAGTGAAATGATCTGCAGATTTGTAGGAAACTTTTTTTTAAAAAAAAGCTAAAGAGATCTCTGCCTAAATATCCTTAAGGGAGCATTGGCTCGAGAGGGGTGATAGTCGGAATTTGGGGCAGCTTCATTCTTCTCAATACTATCTGGTGAAAGAAAATTCTATGGGAATTAAACTTGAAAAAAAGGGAATGCTTCCCACTTGAGACAGAAGCCAGAATATCAGGCCAGCTTTGGTGGCTCAGAGGACTGATCAACGCTTTTGCCATCCCGCTCCCCCTAGGACCACAGTTTTTTTGTGGTGGGGGTGTAGATGATGGTGCAAAGCAAGAGAAACATTGTCAGGAGATGGAGGGGAGTGATTTTCCCCCCATTCTCCTTGGCAGGGCTGTCTTAATGCATGGGCCTGATGGGCCCTTGCCCTTGGGGCCGACAAGCATAGGGGCCCAATATTAATCCCTTCAATGCACCTTGTATCATATAAATACAGCAACATATTTACTACATTTTACCGCATTTTTTAAAATTAATACGAACATGCAAATATATGTTTAATTTTATCGACCGTTTACGTTCTTATTCCTGTGAGTAGTTGTCCTAGGGGCCCCAGTACATTGCTTTGCCTGGGGCCCATAATGCTGCTAAGTTGACCCTGTTTTTTTGGTATTGCTGGAAAGATTTGGGTTCTTCCTTTGATATGATTGTTTCTCCAACCTCAAACAGGTCCTCATCTTTGGAGGTTTCTGATCTGGATGGTTCTGTTTTTCAGCAGGGAGAGTTGGGGGGCAGGGGTGGGATTCAAAAATCCCAGCCACCAGTTCGCTGCCCAGTTGCTGGGTAGGCATGGCCTACCGGAACTTCCAGGAGTTTTTCATCTTCCCAAGGGTCCAGAGGCTTCCCTCGGGCCTCTGGGAGAGTGAAAACGGCCTCCCTCAGGCTCCAGAAACTGGAAACAGGCCCATTTCTGGACTTCCGGAAGGCCCATTTTCCCCCCTCCCAGAGCCTCCATGCTACTACCTGCATTGAAAATGGAGGTTCCTGGGAGGGGAGGGGTGGGTGGAGCCAGCCAGTCAGTTCAAATACCGGTTCGGTGAACCAGATGCAAATTTAACACCTGGTTTGCCCAAACTGGTCTGAACCGGTGGAATCCCACCCTTGGATGGGGGGGGGGGGGCAGGGTCTACAAGTCAGAGATCATATCCTTTGGTTGTGAACCCCCTGATGAAAGACATCATGATCCCAAATGTGGTCTCATCGCCTTCAAAGCATACAGCCTGCTCTGAAATATGTATCCGTTGGATCGTTCACCCATTGACTTTGGTTGCCAGAAGGTCACAAAAGAGGGTCACGTGACCCCAGGGCAATGTTCTGACCCGGCTCTCCAAATACGACAAACTCTCTGCAGTGAACTCTCTGGCTTCTCTAGCAGTGGTGGCTGTTCCATCCCAAGGACCGGCCCATATATTTCCACTGCTCTCCTCTCCTCTGCCTTCTGTGCATCCAAGCATAAGGCACTGGACCCAGCTGTTCCTCCTCTTCCTCATCAGCCACCTCCAGACCTGGGAGTTGTTGACTCTCTATCTGACGGCTGACAGTCAGCCCAGGCTCCACCTCTGTCCCTATTTCTGACAGCTCCATTCCCTCTTCCCCCTGGGAGCTCCCAGGTTGCCTTGATGCTGACCCTGACTCCCATGCCTCCTCCTCCTCCTCCTCCTCCTCCTCCTCCTGCTCCTCCTCCTCCTCCTCTGATTCGGCTGCTGGAGGGGCCAGTGGCCGACAGGCTACATCAGTCAATGACTACCTGTACTGCCCTCTGGCCAAAGATGCATAACTCATCCTTGAGTTTGCCAACCTGATGGAACACCATTGAGGCAGATGGGTTCCAAGCAGACATTAGTTTCTCTCCCAGGTGCTAGGAACCATCCCAAGTAGGACAACTGCCACAACTGCCACCACTTGCTAGGTTGCAGAACACCCACTGAACTTGCTCAACGCTTCCAACTTTGCCCCGAGCTTTATACCGAGACATCCTTGCCAAACATTCCCATTTCTGGAAGCTTCCTGGTACTTTTTAGCAACAGCCTGATATGGAGAGGAGAGGAACAAAACTCTTTCAATTAGTTAGCATCAAGTCAGAGTCAGACCAAGTCTCATTTGTGTAATTAGTGGAAGATCCAGGAAGGGCCGGTTAAGAAAGGGACTTGGCAGCTCTACCCTGGAATCTTCTTTTCGCCAAGGGCAGGACAAAGTTTCCCAAACAATCATGTGTTGTGGTTTTCGGGAATACTGCAAGTTGCAAAACCATTTTGTAAACTAAAAGGAGACCTACATCAAAAGTAATTCCAAAGCGGTCCATTTTCTCGGTGAATCAACCACAATTATGGCTGTCTCTTGGTTAGCTAAACTGGGGACAGGCAAACATTTTTTCTGATGTTCAGTCGGTACTGAATATTGAGGGTCATTCAAAAGCTTTCGGGAAACTTTTCTATCCCTTAAGCCTATGTGGAAGAAAGATTCTTGACAGAAGTCCTTTGTGAACTTTTAGCAGAAAATGGGGGGAGAGGCAGAAAACCCCAAATTCTGACATAGGGATTTGACGATTGCTAACATTTTGAAAAGGAAAAAAAATATTTTGGGAGGAAAATGGACACTATACAGAAAATGGACACTGTACAGGTAGTCATAGAGTTACGATCACATTTGAGTTCAAAATTTCTGTTGCTAAGCAAGTGGGTGCTTGCTAAGTTAAGTGAATTTTTTTGCCCCATTTCATGACCATTCTTGCCAGAATTAAGTGAATCCCTGCAGTTGTTAAGTTAGTAACATGGTTGTTAAGTTAATCTGGCTTCCCCATGGACTTTGCTTGTCAGCAGGTCACAAAAAGGGATCATATGACCTTGGGACACTGCAACGGTCATAAATATGAGTCAGTTGCCAAGCATCTGAATTTTGATCCTGTGATCATGGAGATTCTGTAACACTCTTAAGTGTGAAAAATGGTCATAACACGTTTTTTTTCTGGGCAGTTGTAATTTTGAACTGTCATTAAATGAATGGCTGTAAGCCAATTCATTAGTCTTCAACTAAAAGTTGAAGGTAAGTGTCTTTTATATCCTTGGAGGAAGAGGTTGGAAGTCATCCTTTGTATATATTTTTTGTTTTCCTTTCTTTTGATGTATATCTGCATCTCCATCAATCTCTCTTTTTCCTCTTCCTCTTTATCTACATCTGTTTTTCCTGATTGTTAGTTGCTTTCTTTTTTGTGCGTGTTTGTTTTGTAAAAGTTAATAAAATTATTATAAAAAAAAACAACCAGAAAGACACCTTACGTGAGTTATGGTGGAGTTTTTAAAGGACTCTCTGATTTTTTTTAAAGGAGTCTCTACAGCTATATCTGGCTCTAGTTAGAATTAGATGGAGTTGTGCTTCCCTCCCTTTGGCACACACTTCAAACAACGACAACAACAATGGTAACAACTTTCTTGCTTTCTCCCTTCACAGCATTTCCAGCAAGGAGCTGTCAGAACTGATTGAAAAGTTGCAGAAAAATGCTGATAAAGTGGAAAAGAACATTGTGGAAACGGACTCAAAGATGCAAAGTGTAAGTTGCAGTTGTGCCCTGGGTTGTGAATTATTGAAATGCTAATTAAAGTTGTTTAGAACCAGCATGTTAGGATTTGAGTCAGCTGGAACTCTCTTGCTGTGACAAAAGGCTAGTTTTTGTACAGTGCAGATCTGTGTCTGTTTATGCCACCTGGCATTTTTATTCTCTTCTTTATTATTTTATTTTATTCTTCTATTCTTTTCCTTATGGATGTCAAGGTTAATCCCAATTTCCAATTTCTAGGTTAAATGGAAGATGTCAATTCTCCTCCCATCATTTGGTCCATTGCATCTATGAGAAAAACTTGCTACTAGTGTGATGTTTGGCATGTTGTGTTCTAAATGTTAGTCCATATCTTCCTCCTTCCTCCTCCTTTCCTTCCTTCCTTCCTCCCTCCCTCCCATCACCCACCTTCTTTCTTTCTTTTTTTCTTTCTTTCTTTCTTTCTTTCTTTCTTTCTTTCTTTCTTTCTTTTTCTTTCCACACCCTTTCTTTCCATCTATCTGTAAATATTCATTTAAAGTGGAACATAAAAAATTAAAAGCCCCCAAATGTTTAATGATGCAATTCTTATAGAAATGTTGGATGTTCCTTCTGAAGGTAGCAACTTTTTAATTAGAAGAGTTTCTCCTTCAAGGACTCTGGTTTATGTTCTATTTTTTTAAAAAAATTCTCAGATTGAGGACAAGATTACGTATAAAGAGTTTCCAGCATCTCTTTATACCATGTCAGTTTTAGAAGTGGGAGGAAAGTGCAGCGAATAATTTTATGCAGTTTTAAATGTGATGCGTTGTGATTGCAAATCGAGGATCATCGGTAGTTCAAAAAATATTTTGAAATGATTAAACTTTATCTTTGAGTCAAATGAGTACACTTTCTGTCATTCCTTCTTCCAAGCACGTGATAATACTAGGACGTTGCCAAAAACTTGTGTTTTAATGAAGCTTTATTCTCATCTGTAACAACCTTGTTGGTTTCTAGGACCTGTACAAACTTAAGGCTGGGAAGCCCACACAATACCAGGATCTCACTGCAGATAAGTTGATTGAATCTGACAAACTGCTTTATGTTCTGGATGGAGATGCAGCCATCGCTCGCCACATGAAACACCCCCAGGGGGACATGATCATGGAAGAGTAAGTCTGGACTGGTATAGCCGGAGGGTCACCAAGAGACCTGTGTTACTTTTTGTCACATGGTTGAGTGTTCTCTTCCAGTTTCAAAACAATGCACCAGGGCCAGCCCACCCATGCTATAATTTTTAAAGAAACGCTTAATTTGAAATGCATCTTGATATTATTCTCAGAGGAATCACGATGAAAGTCTGGAGTTCTTTCAAGGAATTTCTTTTGGGTTGAACCCAATTCCTGATGACTTCATGGAAAGTTCCACATTGTTTTCTCCACTATTATATGGAACCCTGGGCACAGCTTTACTTATGGGATTCGTTTGGATGCTACACTGGTTTTAACCCATTGCCTTGGTGTTCCATTTAAATGCTTCATTTCTAGAGATAATTCGAGGTCAACTAGAGGCTGCCATCTAGGTGTACAAATTTTTTGAACTACCTCTGCAGATTCAGAGGCAGGGAAACCAGTGGTGGGATTCAAAACCTTTTTACTACCGGCTCTGTGGGCGTGGCTCTGTGGGTGTGGCTTGGTGGGCGTGGCAGGGGAAGGATACCATAAAATCTCCATTCTCTCCCCATCCCACTAACCTGCTTTCCAGCTCCGTTCTCCTGTGCAGGGCAACAAAAGAAGACCCAGCCAATCCGCTGGGACTCGGGAGGCAGAGAACAGATGGGGGCGGGGCCAGTCAGAGGTGGGATTTGCCGGTTCTCCGAACTACTCAAAATTTCCACTATCAGTTCTCCAGAACTGGTCAGAACCTGCTGAACATCACCTCTGAGGGAACATCAGTAGGAAATGTCTGGGGTCGTCCTGTCTTGCCTTTAGCTTCACTGAGGGATGAGCTACACATTACATTCAGTAATTTTCTTTTCTTTTTCATATGTTATACCCATTTATAAGATAGAAACTATAAATAGCAGCTAATGTTTTTCACCCTTTTCCTTCTATGCAATTATTAGGACTGCTGCCCCAATCTAAGTGTTCTGTTCTGAAGCTGTTATTTGTTTTGAGGGATCACACTTGGAATATTGTATCCTGTTTTGGTCACCATGATAGAAAAAAAGATGTTGAGACTCTAGAAAGAGTGCAGAGTAGAGCAACAAAGATGATTAGGGGACTGGAGGCTAAAACAGATGAAGAATGGTTGTTGGAATTGGATATGTCTAGTCTAGTGAAAATAAGGAGTAGGGTAGATACGATAGCAATGTTCCAGTATTTGAGGTGCTGCCACAAAGAAAAGGGAATCAACTTAATTCTCCAAAACCCCTGAAGAAGACTCAATGGATGGAAACTAATCAAAGAGAGAAGCAACCTAGAACTAAGGAGAAATTTTCTGACAGTCAGAACAATTAATCAGTGGAACAACTTGCCCCCAGAGGTTGTAAATGCTCCAACACTGGAAGTTTTTAAGAAGAGATTGGACAACCATTTGTCTGAAATGCTATAGGGTTTCCTGCTTGAGCAGGGGGTTGGACTAGAAGACCTTCAGGGTCCCTTCCGACTCTGTTATTCTGCAAAGCTCTTCCATCAAGGCCCATGGAAATTGAAGCTTCTGAAGCTCAGAAGTCTCCAGTGTGGGCAAAATTAAGTATTACAATGGAGTGTGGGTGTAAGAAGTTTGAAACTCTTGTCCAGGTGTCATTGTAGAAGGGGTGGCAGAACCTGGGAGTGGAGTCAAAAGAGGAATCAGCCTAGAATCTCTATGTAGTCACAAATGGACTATGCTGAACTCCTCATGAATTCTTTTGACCCTTATCTAGCCAAACTAGGGCTAACTATTAACTGAGTAGAGTCCTGTGCATGGCATGAGTAGTGTAGCACATCAGTTTAACTGGACCTTCATGTGTGGTCCTAATTTTTTTGTGTCTGACAGTCATGGAAAAAAAACAGGTGAGAATTCTTGGTTTTCTTTTCTTCAGCATCCGGCAATTAAAGGAAAGAGTCAACAACTTGCGAGGGAAACATGATCAGATTTACAATTTCACCCCACATGAAGTTGAACCCCAGGTCAATTGGTCCTCAACAATTGAAGAGAAGCAGGTAGGCCTTTTCCAAACCAGGATGTATTGATGTGCTTTTCTTAGAGTTGCCTCCCCTTTTGTTTTGAGACATGGGATGGGAGGAAGGTGCTTATGGGCCTCTTCAATCAGAAAAGTAGCTCCCAAAAGGAAATCAATGGGGCTGGACTGTTTTTTTTCTAAATTTTGCTAAAAAAAATATTAAACGAGTTTTCTCTAAGTTGGTGACCTTTCAGGTACATTGAAGCACCACCCTCCACTGGGTGTGGTGGGAATTGAATTAAACTGGGGACGTCCAGTTTGGGAATGACAAGATCAAATTGTTCAAATGCCCCTCCCCCTCTTTTTAATACTACAGTATATTCATATCAGAAGCACATACCAAGACACTTCCAGGTTAAAAGGAGTAGCTGGTGACATCACTATTGCCTGGGGAGGTCTTTCATGTCCCTATTGTTTTTAACACCAAAGTGGTACTTATTTATCTACTTGCATTTGCATGCTTTCGAACTGCTAGGTTGGTTTTTTAATAGAAGCAGAGAGATCTTAGAAGTAGGATCAGAATAAGAAGTATATGGAATACTTAGCCTCGTCCTGTCTTCCCTGCCATGTTATTCATGAAAATTATTCTTCACCAAGTTGTTAGTTTCATTGGGAGAGATATCTACCCACTATTTGCAATCCCCATAAATGTCCATTGCATTAATTGTCCTTTTCTTACCTGTAAATCAGGAAGCATTACATGTGTGCTCTTCAGCCTAGTACAACACAGTCCACAATCCTACTTCTAGAGTTTTGGGCTGGCATTCCTCTACATAAAACTCTTCCAGATTGTATGGCCACTGCCATAAGTTAATGGGGAGATGGATTCTCATTTTAGGTCAGCAATAAGCAACCTGCAGCCCTCAGCCACGTGGGCCAACAAAACTAATTTTGCAGCTCCTTGAATTGATCTTCTGAAAATGGGTGGCAAATAGTCTTGACTCCTTCCCAGTTTTCAGCACTCATCATAACAAGGGTGTAAGACAAGAACATAGCTTCCATCATTTTTAAAACTGTAGCAAGCCTTGTATGGACCACCCTCTGTTAAGTCCTTCTCATTTACTTTTAAATTTAATTTAAAAACTATCTAAATTTACAGAAATTATAATTAGTAGATCAAACCATGCTTGTGTGGTGGAATGTAGTCTGGAGTCACAGGAGGGAAGGGCTCCTTGCCAGAGGGCGGAGAGAGAGCAGAGCAGGAAGAGAGCAAGGTTGGAGTAGCAATTCACAAGAGTGTATCTAATAGTTATGCAGATAATGGCAGATAATGGCTTTAGTCTGAACCTTTAGATTCTGTCTGTAGGCAAATAACAACAAAGATGTTAGTCAGAAGCAACTCCATGTTCTGTTCTTGATTCTATGGGCCTGAAAGAAAGTTCTTCGGAGCATGAAATGCCACTTCTCTGATTTGCTGAGGGGTACCTGGATTTTTTGTGTGCCCGGGCTCTTGAGGCTATAAGAAACGATGCCCTTATCCCCATTCCTGACCCCTCATATCCTGGACATAAACTGTTTCAACTTCTACTTTCAAAATGACGCTATAGAGCACTGCATACCAGAACAACTAGACACAAGGACAGTCCCCCCCACAAAAAAAATGCCATCGCTCCGCTAAACAACTAATCCTCACAACACTATCAAACTATTTACTAAGACTGCACTACTCTTATTCCTCTCATTCTTCCTAGGACCTACCTCTTCCCACTTAGGACTATAACCGTGTTGCTTGTATCTTTACAATTTATATTGTTTTATTTGTTCCCTAGTGTGATTTATCAGATATTTATATTTATATTAGTATGATTTATAGTAGAAATCCGGATCCAGTGTCCCTGAAGCAGTTCGTGACTGTGTACAATCACGTTCTAGTAGTTCCTGCGAAGCAGCTGGAACTCGTCGTATTGGCTCTGCCGTTCCATTAGACTGTTTCAGTGACATGGAGAGTGGGGGATCTGCTGCTTGGGTAACAGTTTATCCTCCATATTAAATTACCCAGGCCTCGTGCTCTGGAGAGGACACTCCAGCTTTGCATACAGCATGGAAACAACACGGGAAGTGGCAGTTACCGGTTTCATAGCACGATGGCATCGTCTCTTGAGACTGAAGGATGCCAATTCAATTCATAAGATTGCTTATTAGTAACCTATGACTATCACTAACTGTTGTATCTTATGATTCTTGATGAATATATTTTATTTTTTTCTTTGTGTACACTGAAAGCTTACGCACCAAAGACAAATCCTTTGTGTGTCCAGTCACACTTGGCCAATCAAGAATTCTATTCTGTTCTTTTTCCCAAGGAAATCTTGAACAGCAGAGGCTTTAGCACAGACCTCCCATCAGTCAACGGTCAAGTAGAAGAGCACAACATCTTCCACAATGAGGTGATGGCTATTGGACCGCATATCAACAAAGAAGGTGAAAAGGTATCCCTCTTGAGTTTCTTGAGTCTTTGATAAGATGGGGAGTGGAAGGGAAGCAATGGCAGAATGTCTGTGCCGCAAGAGAAACCCAGCAATGTGCAACTTGGGTGGCTCAGTGGTTAGAATGCAGTATTGCAGGCTAACTCACTGCTCACTGCTGGGAGTTCGATCCTGACTAGCTCAAGATTGACTCAGCCTTCCATCCTTCCGAGATCAGTAAAATGAGGACCCAGATTATTGGGGGGCAATAGGCTGACATTGTAAAATGCCCAGAGAATGCTGTAAAGCATTGTGGGGTGGTATTTAAGTCTATTATTATTATGGGGAAGCTGCGCCTGTTGAATGTGTGTCTGCAGTGCATCATCTGAAGATACAGGAACCACTGAATTCAATAGTTTTCCTAAATAGTGATTCAAACAAACCTTTCAGGCTTATCTAATTTCTGTGATTTTATATGTATTTTTGATTGGTTGGTTGACTGGCTGACTGACTCATTCATTCATTCATCAGTTCATTCAGTCAATCATTCAGTCATCCATTCATCCATTCATCAATTCATTCATTCATTCATTCATTCATTCATTCCATATGACTGGCCATCTCAGTAAATGACTCTAACTGGCCATACAAATAATGAGTTTGACTAGAGATTCCAGTTAATTTTGTCTTCTCAACCTCAAATTCTCTTCTATTCTACATAAGCATTGGTGACCTGGCACTTTCTAGAGGATTGAACTTTTATTTCCATCAGCCTTAACCAATAAGGTAGTGGCAAGATTTGTGGGAGTTGTAGTCCAAAAGACCTGGCCAGGGCAAGGTTGCTTTATCTCCCTGCTGCTGGTTAAATTGCTGTCTTCTGCAACAGGCACCCCAAAAGTATTAAGAGTAAAAGATTCATAATGCCCCCAGAGCTTTGAATACCCAGGTAGCTGTGGAAAATCTTGCAGGCTGTTGTGAAATGTGTATAATTGTCTCCTTGGAGACACTTATTTAAAGATGTCACTCCTGGATAATAGATGGGACCAAGATGTAAGTCATTATTAGCACTTTTTTTTTTTATAAACATGTGATTATTCTCAGGTATTCCATAGATGCTGCCTATCTGGGAGGCATGAAGGATCAGTGTAAGCAGTATTTCTCAATATTGACCATGCTGGCTGGGGAACTTTGGAAGTTGAAGTCCACATATCTTAAAATGGCTGAGGTTGAGATACACTGCGTTAGAGAAAGTAATGGACATGAAGAAAGGAGCTGAAACATTTTTTAAAGTCCAGAATAACAAGATGTAACATTCAAAAGCAGCTCAGGCAGACATCTTCCTAATTCATGGGAGTATAAGCAGGCGCAGAACAATCAGAGATTCAAGTTTCTCTTTCTTCCAGCCAATCTTAATTAAAGTAGTTCTGCTCTTTCTGTGGAATTATTTTCCTGGTTTGCTCTACCTGAAGGAGCCAACAATCACTTACATTCATCTACCTGATGGCTTCCAGATACGTTAGAGTTAAAATTCTAAGAATTTCCTGTACACTCTAGGCAGGAATTTTGAGACTTCAGGACTGATTCACTGAAGGAAAGGATAGGAAGGGGGCAATGGAGATCGTTGAGGCATTGTAGTCCAAACAAAACACTTTCTCTTGGGAACCAAGGACATTACTGCAGGTGCTCGGAAGGAGGGAACTGGAGTTACCTAGCAACTGGGCAGTATCCTGATTGGACCATGTGACTGATGGTTTTGAAAAAATGACACACTTTTAATTAGGTGAAAACCGCGGGAAGAATCAGAGTCGGTTTTCACCAGCCTGTGCCAATATGGCAAATTCAATAAACTTATTCTTTGGGGAAATTGCCTGCCTCAGAGCTTTGTTTGCAATGGATATGTCACTTGGAATCCTGACATTAAACCAACTCTCCTTCAGTGTATCAGTGCTGAAGTCTCAAAATGGTCTCAGTCAGGCCAGCTTCAGAGTTGACAATGGTTAGATGCTTAACTGTGATGCATTTACGATAAAAGTATGGTCTTGCTGGTCTATTTTTCTTTTGAGTTTGGTCTTTTTCTGTTTTTTGTTTCCAGGAGTATACAAGTGAGCTTCAGATGAAATATCAGAAACTGCTGGTAAGACTCTTTTTTTCCCCTAAACAGATGTGTGTAATTATGGTACATCTAAGCAGATCAGAGATGAAATGAGAAAACATGCCTAGGGCAGAAGACACAGAGAACAAGATGCATTGTTTAGCAATCACCAAGGAATAAAATTATTGGGCCAGGGAGAAGGAGCATGCTTTCTGCAAGTTGGGTCGTCATCGCATCTGGAATATTAAAAAATAAAATAAACCTTACTGTGTTGATGATGGGATTTGGCCGTTCAGATTCCTGTATTCTTCTGGGGAATAGAGTAGATGGAAAGACTGAAAAGAATGGGCCATAAGACAACTTTCTGCAATTGTGTAATTTTCAGAATTCTCAGATTTGACGTCCATCGTGTCAAATCTGGTGAGATACTAGTGGGCGAAGGTTGCCATGAAAGTGCATGGAGCAGAGACCTTAAGCATAGGGTGAAAATAATTCAGGCTTCGTTGAATGTAGGATATAACCAATAAGGATCAGCCAAGACAGTTTGCCCCTAAGCCATTTTAAGGAGCTATACACTTTTTGGAGAAGACCCAAAGGTGCTTTTCCAAAAGGCAACTGGCTTTTCCTTGGCTTTTTTTTTCCCTGGAAAATGTTTTGCTTCTCATCCAAGAAGCTTCTTCAGTTCTGAACAATTGAAGAAGCTTCTTGGATGAGAAGCAAAACATTTTCAAAGGAAAAAAAAAAAGAAGCACGATTGGTATAACCACGACCTGGATGATTGAGAATCTCTCACATCTGTAAAGCAGCAAATCATGCAGCTGCTCCAAGGTACAAGGGAGGAATTGTTGTTACAGATTAACAAGAGTTGGAAGGGACCTTATAGGTCATCTAGTCCAACCCCCTGCCCAAGCAGGAGATCCTACACCCGTGGTGGCAAAACTACAGCACATGTGCCACAGGTGACATGCAGAGCCCTCTCTGTGGGCCTGTGCACCATCGCCCCACCTCAGCTCCACCGTGCATCTGCGTGGACATCCCGCCAGCCAGCTGGCCTTTGGCTCTCTGCCACACATGCACGGGGGCGGGACACATGCACAAGGGGTCGGATGCATGCATGGGGGGGCACATGTGTGGGGAGACATGCATGCATGAGGGCACTTTGGGAATGCACGTGCATGCGCTTTGGGCACTCGGGGCCCCAAAAGGTTCACCATCACTGCCCTGCAACCATTTCTGACAAAAGGCAGTCCAGTTTTTTCTTGAAAGCCTCCAGTGATGAAGCTCCCACAACTTCTGAATATTTATTGGGGACGAATTATTCTGTTGTGCTGGCTGGATATATATTTTTTGTTGCAGTTCTTAATATGATCTCACCTGGGGTGGAAGCGGGGGGGGGAGGTTTGCATAAGTTGGACTCATCAACAAGCAATCCGCTCTAAAACGCCTGGATTTTGCCATCTGGCGAAAGAGATGGCTTGAAAACTGTCTTCCCCCAAAAAAAGGGGGGGGGACATTTTTTTTCCCTGGCGCTGTTTTTTTCCCTCTCTCTCCAACTTTTAAACCTTTGGCCAAACGCCTTTTTATGCTTGCAGTCGGAATCCCAACGAAGGCAGGAGAACCTGAATTTATTGCAAGATTTTATGCAGCGTTGCACCAATAAGCTCTACTGGTTAGATCAGCAGGCTAAGGACAGGTTGCAGTTTGACTGGAGTGACCAAAACCTCGACTACCCCAGCCGCCGTCGCCAGTATGAAGTGAGTTTTCCTTTTGACAACCTTTCTCATTAAAAAAAAAAAAAGCACAGGAGGACAGTTAGACGTCGAACATTGTAGAACACTGCAGAAAATAAGTCTGGATAATAATTGGAGCAGAAATTGAATATTTAAAAGAGATAGATGGGGCATTTTCTTCCAGCTGTTAGAGGTGGGAATGCTCAAGCAATTCATATATATATACTATACTATACTATACTATACTATACTATACTATACTATACTATACTATACTATACTATACTATACATTAAATTGCATGTTAGGCTTGCAAATGCCATTGTAACTTTGAATGATCACTAGAATAGAGTAGAGTAGAGTAGAGTAGAGTAGAGTAGAGTAGAGTAGAGTAGAGTAGAACAGAACAGAACAGAACAGAATAGAATAGGATTCAGAATAGAATAGAATAAGATTCAGAATAGAATAGAACAGAACAGAATTAAGAATGGAATGGGATAGGATAGAATAGAATAGAATAAGAGTAGACTAGAGTAGACTAGACTAGAACAGAATTAAGAATTGAATGGAATAGAAATAGAATAGAACAGAACAGAATCCAACCTAGAATTAAGGAGAAATATTCTGAGAGCGAGGATAATTAATCAGTGGAGTAGCTTGCCTCCTGGAATTTGTTTTAGAATAGAATAGAGCTGGAAGGGACCTTGGAGGTCTTCTAGTCCAGCCCCCTGCTCAAGCAGGAGAACCTATACCATCTCAGATAAGTGACTGTCTAGACTGTTCTTAAAAACCTTCCAGTAATGGAGCACCCACAACTTCTGGAGGCAGCTTCTGTTCCACTGGTTAATTGTTTTCACTGTTACAAAGTTTCTCCTCAATTCCAGGTTGCTTCTCTCCTCGATTAGTTTCCATCCATTGTTTCTTGTTTTGCCCTCTGGTGCTTTGGAGAATAATTTGACCCCCTCTTCGTTGTGGCAGCTCCTTAAAAGAAATGTTGTAAGTCAAGGAGCTGTATGCTTTTGTGCAGATGAAATTCAGCATTGGAGCAAGTTGACAGGAACTTCTGTTTGAAAGTTTTCAAAGCAACAGAGCTTACTGTAACTAGCTATCTAGAAACAGATACTGTACAGGGAATTCCAGTGAAACCTGATCCATGTTATTGGATCTAATATGGCTTTCCTTCAATGATGGATGTCCCAAAGAGAACAGTGGCTAATACTATAGTCTAGGTCTAGGAAATTCTTTTTGAAGAACCTGAACACAGGTCCCAAAGGTGCTTTTCCAAAAAGCATCTGGGTTTTCTTGTTTCTTTTCCTTGAAAACATTTTGCTTCTCATCTAAGACAGTTCTGAAGTGAAGAAGTGAACTGAACTGAAGCAAAATGTTTCCAAGGAAAAAGAAAACCAAGAGAGTCCAGTTTCCTTTTGGAAAAGCACCTTTGGGACAAATGTGACCTTGGATGGTTGAGGATCTCCAGAGACAACCTGCATAAACGTTCTTTCTTTTCTGATTCCCTCCCTTTAATTCAGCTTGGAAGTAGACCAAGCCACCTGCAACTGGAGTGATTCCATTCTGTTTCCTCATTCCTTCCCCTTTCCTTAGAATTTCATCAATAGGAAATTGGAAGAGAAAGAGGCAGCCATCAACAAACTGCACGAGGATGGCAATAAACTCCTGTCTGAAAATCATCCTGGGAAAATCGCCATTGAGGTAAGTTTGATTTGAAGAGGGCTACATCTTCAGTGGTCTCGGTTTCTCACTGACTCCCAGTTCCTGTATTATTTTGGGGGCATCGACAATTATCGTCCTGAGGTCTACTCTCCCTCCAAACCTGCAGGCTCACATTGAGGCCGTCCATGCGGACTGGAAAGAATATCTCAACCTGCTGATCTGTGAGGAGAGCCACCTGAAGTTCATGGAAGACTATCATCAGGTACTACTTTGAACCCAAGGATTTATCAGGGAATTTTGCAGCGAGGTGCAATGGTGGGATTCAATATTTTTTTATTGCCGGTTCTGTGGGCGTGCCTGGGTGGGTGTGGTAGGGGAAGGATACTGCAAAATCCCCATTCTCTCCCCACCCCACCAACCTGCTTTCCAGCTCCGTTCTCCTGTGCAGGGCAACCAAAGGAGACTCAGCCAATCAGCTGGGACTCGGGAGGCAAAGAATAGATGGGGTTGGTGGGGCCAGTCAGAGGTGGGATTTGCCGGTTCTCTGAACTATTCAAAATTTCCGCTACTGGTTCTCCAGAACTGGTCAGAACCTGCTGAAGACCACCTCTGGCAAGATGGTATCTCTCCTGGGAGTTCTACTGAAACTGACTAGGCTGAGAGTTGACTCTTAACAAGAGGCTATCTTCTAACTTTCCTGAAGACAAGAAGCCAGTTTTAGGAAATATACCTGATCACATTGGCTCCCAGGACTTCATTTTTTGGGGGCTAAAATTCGACCTGAGCAGTAGAATGAAGGGTGATCTTCAAAAATTAATGAATGAGGCAAGCATAGAAGCTACGATTTGTTAGATTAAAATGGACATAAGGCATGTGGTTCCTTTCTCCATTTAACGGTTATCCCATTGTATTTAGTTTACTTTATTGTCACTGCACCTCGTACAACGAAATTAAATACCATCTTCAGTGTACGTTATGACTATGAAAATAAACACAAACACACATCCTTTGCATTCTATACAACTGAATTGAAAACCTCTGATGTTCCACTAATATATTCTACTACTATACAGTAGAATTCAAAAGAGCTCCTGCCCTGGACTAGAAGCTGTTTTTCAGCCTATTTGTCCTTGTTTTCATTATCCTGTACTGTCTGCCAGATGGTAATAGTTCAAAAAAAGGGTTCCCAGGATGAGACGGATCTTTGAGAATGTTATGAACTTTCTTAAGGCAGCAGGAGCTATAAAGCTCTTCCAAAAAGGGGAGAGGGCAACCCACGATCCTCTGGGCAATGACGTTAACCTTCTGGAGTGCTGTCCTATCCAGAGGGTTAACGTCATTGCCCAGAAGATCATTTACAATGACAGTCAGGGAAAACCTTTGGAAGATCAAGGTTTTGAGGTTTCCATCGGATCTTCAGATCATGATCTTCCATTAGAAAATTGTATTTTGGGTGCCTAGGTGTGCACAGGAAGTAGGAGAACATTTCCAGGCATGTCATCACTTTGGGGATGTTCTTCTTACATAGCAAAACCAAATCTGCTTTGTCTCCTTTGTAAGGGAGGAACAGGGAGGAGCCCACCTCCTATCCCGCTAGCAAACAAACCTGACAGACAGTTTGTCTAGCACAGCTTGGCGTGAAGATTGTCAAGGCAGGTCAGATGGTGCAGCTGGACTTGTTTGCAAGACAAAAGAGCTGGTGGGAAAACAATCTTGTCAGACAAGTTCTTCTTCCAACCTCTCTAGAGCTTCTCAGAGATGAAGCAACCCTCTGCTTTTGGAAGCTGGTTTAGCAGAAGACCTTGCTGGTCCATTAAAAACGCCTGCTCTAGTCTCAAGAAGTCATTCCGTCCGTTTTGTTCCAAGGACTGAGTTTCCCATTGGGTAGCCAGTCCTGAACAGTGTCTCTCAGTCCTTAGCCAGAGGAAGAGGCCTCCATGTTGTCTAAGAACAAAAGGCTCACAAAAGGCAACTATGGGGACCGCTTTCAAGTCCTATTTTAATAGGCGAGGGCATGACTTCGCCCTGAGGCCAATCACAGGAATGGAATGGCAGGACTTTTTCAGACTTGCATAGAACTGAAATGGATGGGTTTTTTTTCCCCCACAGGGAGTGGGGGTTAAGGTTATTTCATGTAATTGAATTGTATTCAGAGAAGAAAGAGGGAGGGAGGAGAAGGAAGGAAGGTAGGAAAGGAGGAAGGATGGATAGATAACTAGATAGCTAGATAGCGAGAAAGATGATAGATAGATAGATAGATAGATAGATAGATAGATAGATAGATAGATAGATAGATAGATAGATAGATGGATGGATGGATGGATGGATGGATGGATGGATGGATGGATGGATGGATGGATGGATAGATGGATAGCTATGATAGCTAGCTAGATAGACAGATAGACAGACAGACAGACAGACAGACAGACAGACAGACAGATCAATCCCAGGAACAACCATGGGGTGTGTCAGGAAAGTCAATATGGTGGTCTTGAGCAAAATTTTACTAAGGGGCAAGACTCCTCCCCTCCCCTCCCCTTTTTGCTTTTTTTCTGTCTTTCCCTCATTTCCCTCCCTTTCTCTTCCCTTCCCTCTTTTCTACTCTTCCTCTCCTCTCCTCTCCTCTGTTTGCCTTATGCTCTTTCCTTCATTTCCTTTCCCTTCCCTTCCCTCTTTTCTATTCTCCCTCTCTTCTCTTCTCCGCCAATAACAGAATTTTACTGGGTTGGAAGGGACCTTGGAGGTCTTCTAATTCAGCCCCCACTGCTTGAGCGGGAGATCCGATGCCATTTCAGGCAAATGGCTGTCCAATCTCTTCTTGAAAACCTCCAGTGGGACACAGCCATGATGGGGAACCAGTGGGAGAAAATTCTTTTTAAAAATCTAGTCATCAGAAGAGAGCTGGAAGGGACCTTGGAAGTCTTCTGGGCCGTTCCAGATAAGTGGCTGTCTAGTTTCTTCTTAAAAACCTCCAGTAATGGAGCATTTACAACCTCTGAAGGCAAGTTGTTCCATTGGTTAATTGTTCTCGCCGTCAGTAAATTTCTCCTAAGTTCTAGGTTTGTTCCCTTGTTGATTAGTTTCCATCTCTTCTCTTCTCTTCTCTTCTCTTCTCTTCTCTTCTCTTCTCTTCTCTTCTCTTCTCTCTTCTTCTCTTCTCTTCTCTTCTCTTCTCTTCTCTTCTCTTCTCTTCTCTTCTCTTCTCTTCTCTTCTCTCTTCTTCTCTTCTCTTCTCTTCTCTTCTCTTCTCTTCTCTTCTCTTCTCTTCTCTTCTCTTCTCTTCTCTCTTCTTCTCTTCTCTTCTCTTCTCTTCTCTTCTCTTCTCTCTTCTCTTCTCTTCTCTTCTCTTCTCTTCTCTTCTCTTCTCTTCTCTCCCATGTTTATCTGCCCTTCCCAGGTTTTCAGGGATGCTTCCTTCTCGTCTCTTCCCTCTCAAGAATGACTTGGGATCAAAAGGAAGGGAGGACTTGACTCTTTCTTCTCTTTCTTTGCAGTTCCAAAAAGATGCCAAGGACGCACAGGAACTTCTCAGAAAGGTAGACACAGATCTGGACCAGAAATACAGCCCAGATTTCAAAGACCGGTACCAGATCGAAACTTTGTTGCACGACCTGGAGGCAAGTATTTTGAAAGAGAAGGCAAAGCTATTATTTTGACAAGCTTGGGGTTGGAGGTCAGTGGAAGGAAGGAGAATGTCTGGATTGCACACGGCACCATCGTGTTCCAAAATTTTATTGATCAAAACATAATATAAAATACAGAAATACAAAAGAAAATAATCTCTATATATAAAAGCGAAATGCCCCTCACACATCATCACAACATCTCCAGAACAGTAAAGCCTACAAACTTGAAATTTGGCACATATGTTCTTCTTGGCTTCTAGGTGCTCACTAAGAAAGGATTTTTTGAAATGACCACCAGAGCATTAGTATTTCTTATATTATTATTATTATTATTATTTATTATTATTATTATTATTATTATTATTATTATTATTATTATTATTATTATTATTACACTCTGATGCTAAAGAATTCTACTCCCCCTCCCCACCTGAAAAGAAATCTCTTCCAAAGGCAAAACACAAGCAGAGAAGAGGAGCTTCAGTTTCAGTTTCACAGCAGCAACCAGCTTTAGTACAGAATAATTGAGCTAAGCCACGCCCAGGCTCCTTGCTGTCTCCTTCTTCCTCACACAGCAAATACTATTTCAGTTTCCAAACAGCCCTCCACTCTCTCACACACTGACAAGATGCTAGCCAGATGAATACCGATAGATGCTGGTAGGCAGAGGCACAATTTCCACCCCCCACTCCCCTTATTTTTCTCCCCAAAAACTAAACCCGACCACATAGTTTCGTAGTGAAGCATGGGTATAGAGCTAGTAGGAGAATAAGGGAGGGAAAGGGGAAGGAGGAAAAATGTAGGGTAAAGAGGAAAGAGAAAGAAAAGGCGTTGATTTCCAATTCTTTTCGGTGTGGCCGAATAAGGTTATAGCATAACACCTCAACTTTTTTACTTTGATATAATAACCTACACTAGCCGTTCCTATAACAACAAACCCATCTAATCAGCAAAGCCCCAAATCAAAGTTTTATTTCACATGGCACCATCATGGAGGATGGCAACCCCTGGAGTTGGTGGAGGGGGCAGGTGGAGCAGAAAGCTACTAGTGTCATCCATCCCACTTAAGTTAGCTATCAAAGAAATACTCCTGGCCCATTGTTTTCCCAGAGTATACTTCACGGAAAGCAAAAAATGGTTAGTGAAGTAGTTAAGCAGAATCTGCTGGTCTGGCACGCAAAGAATACGATGGACTTTTCCTTTCTCCCCTGGCCAACCTTCTGTTACCAGTCAATGTCCAATTAGAAGTTCTCGTGTTGTTTAGGTAACGGAGCCTCCGTCTCGGCATTCCTTTGAGTGACCTGGGGCTGGATTGGTGTGTCTCATTGTTTGGAATGGCCTGGCACGGCTTGGTTCCCAAACCCTTCCATGTCCTCCCCGTTCCAATCTCTTCCCTCCACCCGTTGCTAAGGTCAGGCTGGCAGGATGCAATGCAAAGCGAGCAGAATGGCAGCCGTGGCAACTACCACAGCAAGCCAAGAGAACGATGTGCTCCCCCAATTGGTTCTGACTGAAGGTAAAGGTAAAGGTTCCCCTTGCACATCCGTGCTAGTCATTTCTGGCTCTAGGGGGCGGTGCTTATCTCCGTTACAAAGCAAAAGAGCCAGCGTTGCTGTCCGGAGATGTCTCCGTGGTCATGTGGCCGGCAGGACTAAAGCTGCACGGAACTGTTCTGACCCAAACCCTTTTCCAATAAAACAAACATGAACCAAAGGAAACAGCAACCTTTTAATGATTCTTACGAATCCCTAGTTAAAAAGCTGCTGCAAACTAATTAATTTTGATAAGCACAAGCCTCAACAAAATTGTGCCAAGAATAACACATAAGATTACCTAGAAATATTTTACAACACAAGAGTCTTCAAATATCAGCTAAGATACTGCAATGTCCACGAGGCTCGAGTTTCAAAACGTCTTTGCTTCCTGCAAAGAACGTCCGATTCACAGCTGACTTTTATCTTCTTGAAGGAGGGGCCATTACCTTGCAGCCTTACTCCCGAGTCGCCCGTGCTGCTGCAAATGCTCTTTCCTGTGAGCAACCCTGCGTGCACGCGCAGTTGGCACAGGCTCCTCGGAAACCTCCTCATCACTGCTGCCAACCCCCACCATCTCTGAAGGCAGCAGTCCACTCACTAATGGTCCTGGTCCCTCATCTGAGTCCTCGCTCTCCTCAGCTGTCCGCACCTGCTGCCGGCTAGCCACAACAGGAACGCTGTTCCCTTCCCACCAAAGTGGTCCCTATTTTTCTACTTGCATTTTTACATGCTTTCAAACTGCTAGGCTGGAAGAAGCTGGGACAAGTAACAGTTCTGACTTACCAACCTATTTATCATATATAAATATGGTAAATAAATAGGTATGCATTGAGTAGAATCCATGTGAAAAAAGTGGAATAACCATTTGAGGGGAGTGAATCTGTTCCATGGGCTCCAAGCACCACAAATCTACATGATACGCTGAACTATGACTTATCTAGTGTGCAAGCTGTTTTTGAATCCATCTTCTCTGAAGTTGAGTCTTAAGTTGAGTCTTAAGTCACTTTCTCCAGGTTATTGTCCCCTCAGATGTAAGCACTACAACACTCTCTTCTTTGAGCAATTTGGAAATGGTCTATGCTGGACCAAGGTGTGATGGGTTTGTGGCCCAAGGCATCACAAAGATGGTCAAAACAGGTTCTTTTGCTCCAGAACCCAACAATGGATAAAAGATATACTTAGAT